TAACTTCCCTCCTCACGACTGGAAATCCAAAACCAGACTGTCAGCTCAGCCCCAGAGGCAGCGTGTCAAAACACAAAAGGTGTAAAAGAGTTGTGGAAACGATGCGCTGCAATCTCTACGTCTGAATCTGAGTCTTCCAACAACCCCCTGACTCGCTGTTCATCATCTATCTAGAGAAGCACTAACTTCATTATTCACTCCACTCGGTGCAGTAAACAAGTCCGTGATGCGAGACAGCTACTGTAGCGATACACCACTCCTCCTGCTGCTGTCATTCAGTCCAAATCCATCCAGAGAGACAATAAAAAAAGAAAAGCAGCGAAGAAGAGGAACCTGTGGATTCTCAAAAGCCGATTTAGTCACTTGCAGTTGCGGGATCTGCTCTCACACACAAACAGCCACAGCAGTGATAACAGTTCTCTTATTTCACCCTTCAAAGAACAACTGTTTCAAGTCTATTTCCTCCATTAAGGATGACTGATGACATTTCCCAGCCGCGGCTCGCTGCCTTTGTTTTTCAGCAGTCACTTAACGCTGGCAGAGCGGAGGCTTCGATACGCATGCGTGAGTCACTCCCTCCTACACTACAATGTGCATGGCCATATTATTGTCACTTGAGTCGGCCTAACCGACTCATCACGCCAGCCTGTTTGCTTTTGCTTTTGACTGCAGGAGCTAAACAAACAAACCATAATATGTCCTTTCATCACGTGAGCATAGGCTATAGAAACCAAATGTAAATCAGCTGTATTAAAGCCTAGGAGCAACAACAAGGGAAAAAATGGCTTTGCATGTGTTATATAATCATGTTTAGCAGCTGCTAGAGGAGCTCTTTTCATTTGTTACACATCAGTAGGTGCATTCCTTCTACTTCCCAAGTCTTTGTAATGTCGCCGTAGTCTGAGCAGTGGTGCCCGGAGAAATCTTTCACCATGGTGGCCAGATGGGGCCACGGAAAATCTTAGGATGGGACACCAAAACCACAATTCATAACCTGATTTCAAGACTTTAATGATGCTGCTGTAGCTGAAATCTAAGTCAGTATGGACTGTCCCACATACTCTGCACAGGATGCAAGCATATAGAAGCATGAAATAGTGTCATACATGTCAGGATTTCTACCCTGGCTTCATGATAAGCACATCCACAGGCTGATCTATATCTTTGTCCACTGCAGCAATGAAGCTGATAAAGTACCGTGCAGGACACACAGCCCTACAAATCAAACAATCTTCTATCCTCTAGAGTTTAGCTTCAAAAGGGCCTGAGTTTCTGTCATATTCTGTCTATATTTGGGCACAAACTTGTCCATGCTGCACAACTGCACACCGGCAACATCTGCCTTCCCTTTCTCTCTAATCATTTAAGGGATGAACAATAACGCAGAATATGAAGGAGAGAGAAGAAATGATTCACAGGCTCAGGTAGGAAAGGACTGAAACCTTACTCCTGCCCATCACGCCAACACAGCCTGCCCCAGAAGAGGAGTGAAGTGACTGCTGAACGGTGTAATTATATCACATCTGTGTCTCTCGCTGAAAGCTGCAGTGATGTGGCTCTCTGGTAAAGGCTGAGAGTTGTGATGAGGATGCAATAAAATGGCCACTAGACTGAATCCAAAGAGAACAGCCTGCTCTTTTTCGTGTCTTTCTCTATTCCTGGCAGCACATCCAGTGTGATTATCAGTATTGATTGCCCCACAATTTCATGTGGAAAATCTATCTGATCTATTACCCACTTTAATATGTATTGTATTCCCTTCTGTATGAAGAGGCTTGTGAAAGGGCTGTGCTTCATTACAAAGAAAACCTCTTACATACATACATTAGGCCTACTGATTATATGGTAACATCTTTTAGTTTAATGTGTGATTTGTTCACAGAAAAGTAAATCTACTTTTTTATTACAAAGCATACAGTAATGTACTATACATATAT